TGTGGCCTTCTCCATCTGTGTTATTCCTCCTGACCAGCTCTTGCAGAGCCCATTAGTCATAGTGGTGTGGCGTGACAGGTGAGGAAGAAGCGTGCAGAGGTGCTCCCAGGACACACACAGGCTGGGCAGAGCTTCCACTGGAGTCACTGGCAAACTCTGCCATCTGGGCCAGTGCCAGATCAGATCGATGGAGTTGTGCCTAATTGAAAGCCTTCTTAATTTAAGGGGTGGGATAGAACAAGAAAGAACAGCTCTGGTTATTAAAACACCTGCATGGACAGGAGAAAGCTTAGCTGGTGTTAGAAATCAAGTGGCAAATAATGAGAATTAGTCTTTTAAGCAGTCTTATCATCCTGTTGCAACAGTTGCTTTAACAACAATGCTGATGGTGCTTGCACTTATATTTACTGGTGGCAGGTTCTTTTCACTCTAAACTCTTTCCATGGACCTGCATCTTTCATAAATCTTGGTGCCAAGAGTAGCAGTGGAAGGAGCATCAGGGCTTTCATTATGGGTATGTAGAGACAGACAGAAGCATTTACTTTGGTTTTATCAGACCATGCATTCATTTGGCACCATTTAAGAAATGGTTCCCAAAGTGGAGCTTGCGGAGCAGTCACTGGTGGTCCATGAAAAACTAGCTCATGACTAGCTCTCCTCTTTTCTGAAAAAAATAAAAGGCTGAAACTGCATTGAGTGCTGCTCTCCTAGTGCTTCTTCTCAAGGCAAGCCAATGCTGCACTACTTGCAGGAATGTAAAAGGTTTCTGAAGGCATTGGTTAAAAAAAATCTATCAGTTCTTCCTCTGGCATCTCCTGAAAGCCAACAGCTGGCCCTCCTTAACTATCTGGCAAGCACCTGGTGCACAGCAATAAGAAATTACAATACTTTTTTAAAAAACATGACAAGGAATCAATACAAAAACAAATCACATTAATGCACAATTATTCCAGCCTTGGTTTGTGCACAGTCAGCATGCTGAGATATTCCAAGCCAAGAGGATTTTTTCCTTGCTTTTAAAGAAAGATTTATTCATAAGGGTGAAGAGGGCAAATTCCCAACATTTCAGCCCTCAGCTGGCTTTTGTCAAGGGTTTCTAATGCACACACATGGTGAGGCTTGGCTAAGGCACAGGGGAAAAAAGTTATGAAGTAAATTCTATGGATTGATATATATTCTTTCTAGTAATGTTGAGATTTGCCAAACGAGGCATGGACGAGGAATGTGAAAGCTTAGGAGTATACACAGATCTGCACATACTTCCACACGCACAGATAAATGGCGCAGGCTTTGTTTTGCCACCATGACTTTACTATTGTATTATCTTACTTTGCCATTAATTCCATTAAATACAGTTAGTAACCCTTTCGACTACGCAGTTGGAATAAGTAACAAAATCTGGACTTCAATGACGCCAGCACTAAAGAGCTCACCGCCTTCCTTCCTCCGTGTTGTTATGTAGGGTTATCTGAAAAGATCTTTCTTAATTTTAAATTTAAAAAAATTACTCAAGGGGGAATGTTCATTATAGAATCATAGAATGGTTTGGGTTGGAAGGGACTTTAAAGACCATCCAGTTCCAAGCCCCTGCCCTGGACAGGGACACCTCCCACCCAGACCAGGTTGCTCAGAGCCCCATCCAGCCTGGCCTTGAACCCCTCCAGGGATGGGGCAGCCACAGCTTCTCTGGGCAACCTGTTCCAGTGTCTCACCACCCTCACAGCAAAGAATTTCTTCCCCAGATATCCTCTCAATTTCCCCTCTTTCAGGTTAGAACCATTCACCCTCGTCCCATGGCTCCCCTCCCTGATCAAGAGTCCCTCCCCATCTCCCCTGGAGCCCCTTTAGGAACTGGAAGGGGCTCTAATGTCTCCCCAGAGCCTTCTCTTCTCCAGGCTGCTAACACCCCTGATTGTCTCAGCCTGTAGTTATTACAATGATGATAATCATAATGATTAGTAAGCATTTGGGTTTATTTCTGCTTCCTTTTCTGAATTTTTCTGTATGAATGTATAAGGTGAACACAGATTTCCAAGCTAGCTTCTACCAAGCTCTTCCAGGGGGTTGCCCAGCCTATATAAAGTCAGAGAGAAAGTGAAGTGAGGCACATATTGTTCCGTAATGAGTGTTGAGTTCTAGTCTCTGTTCCTGGGAAGTGCTGTATTTTACATTCTATGTTTAAAAAGAAATGCAGAAAGTTATACCTTTTGCATGCCAAAATCACTACCTACAGCAGCCACAGTCCTGAGAGGAGATGCTGGGATTTGTAGCTCTTCTCGTTAGGTGTCCAAAACACCACTTTCCTTTTCCCTTGGGCCCCTTGCATGACTCTTGCGTACTTGGCTGTGCAGCAGTGGCTTCTTATGGTTTGCCTACACTCAATTTAACAAAGCTCTTCTGCACATCTAAACTCTTTTATTTGGGAGTCTACCAAAAGTGTGAGAGAGGGGTTGGATCCCCTCAGGGTGAGGAAGAAACTAAGACCCATATGAGTTATCCGGCAAATAGATAGTGTGGAAAAGAAATAAACATTTATAGAAGCAGCACTTGCTGCCACCATTCCAGCCTCTTTTCTTCTTCCCCGCCAGCAAATCCATTCTCTAGATCCCTTCTGAGCCCTCTGCTTCTTCCTGGGAAGGCAGATCCAGCTCTTCATGCTTGGGATGTCAAAATTCAGTTTTATTTTCAAAGTTAAAAAGCGGTAAATGGGCTCTGCTTCTACACTAGCGTTTGCAGATACTGTTGGTAGGAAGAAAAGATTATTTATCACTTGCTTGGATTTAGGAAATTATATTCTAAGTAGCTCTATAAATAAACAAGTGACTTCTGGGGATCTCGCTTTTTTTACCCAGGTGCTCTACCAAGTGGTGCATGGACCTTTAATGCAGTTACGTTTTTAACACAAATCAGGTATTTTACTTATTTTGTCCTTTTCAATTTAAAGACTTTTATTGGCTGTGTTTCTTTGGTAAATGAGCTGTCAGAAACAAGCGTCTTTACATTTAAAGTGAGCTCTACATTATGATGTCTTCATTGTACAAAAACTTGAATAAGCAGCATGTGGTAAAAGTAGAAATTTCCAAAGACTCAAAGTTAAAGTTATATTTTCCATTTGCTTAGTTTCATTCAGCTGGCAATTTGCTCCTTCTGATGTATTTTGTCCTTTTTCTACCCCCTTTCTCCCATTATATATTTATACACTTTTGGGATATACAGATAGACCTTGCAGGTGCCTTTAAAGTTTCTTCTTTCTTTAGCTGAGGTGAGGTGATACTACTTTAAAAAGTATGGAAACGCAGAAAACAGAGGTTCTCAGCTTAGCAGAGGATAAATTCCTGCTCCAATGGAATGAACAAAGTTTTCATTGACTTCAAAGAGTTCTGTTTGACTCTGTAGTTATAGAGCAGGACATGCAGAACCCCTCCAGGGATGGGACAGCCACAGCTTCTCTGGGCATCACCATGTTGCTTTGTTCAGCAAGGAACAGTATTCTGTTCAGATATTCTGGCTTTGCCAAAGGCATCTTCTGGTTTTGAGCCACTCTTGGACCACCCATTGTCCCCAGCTCACTGATCTATACTGTTCCCAGGCGTTACATTGTGGTGTACAGCTCCCAGTGACTACACTGGGGTTAGAAGAATGGATAAAACAGATATGCTCACTAAAAAACCGTGTGCTTCTTTTTGCTTATGGAAATACCCAAAATAATCAAACTGATATGTAAAAGTGGAATATTTTCCACTACCTGCGAGGGGAAAAATCCTTCAGGAGATGGTTAATGCCAAATATTTTTCCATGTCTGACACAACAGCAGGATTCTGGCAGTGCCCATAGGAAAAAAGGCCACATGTCTGTGCACATTCAACACACCCATAGGGAGACACTGATTTTTTGCAGGCTGCCATCTCAGTTATGCTTGGCACATACATTTTGCAATGGAAAATAGAAAATGTTGGTGGTATACAGGGTACTAAACAGAAAGTACACTTTCTACAGGGAGAGAGTGAAGGAGAGGATGACTTTAAGCTCATGGAGCTCTGGAAAGAGCTGAAGATTTTGAGAAACGTTTAAAAAAGTTTCAAGACAAAAGACCCAAGTCCCTCACCCTTTCCTCATCAGAGAGATGCTCCAGGCCCCTCATTATCTCTGTACCCTCTGCTGTCCCCTCTCCAGCAGTTCCCTGTCCTTCTGGAACTGGGGAGCCCAGAACTGGTCCCAGTGCTCCAAATGGGGCTTCATCAGGGCAGAGCAGAGAGGCAGGATGACCTCCCTCAACCTGCTGCTCACACTCTTCTTGATGCCCCCCAGGATGCCATTGGCCTTCTTGCCAATGCCCCACCAGGGCCCATTGCTGGCTCATGGTCATCCTATTGTCCACCAGGACTCCCAGGTCTTTTTTCTCAGAGCTGCTCTCCTGTAGGTCACCCCCAACCTGTCCTGGTGCAGGGGGTTATTCCTCCCCAGGTACAAGACCCTACACTTGCCTTTGTTGAATTTCATCAGGTTCCTCTCTGGCCAGTTCTCCGGCCTGTCCAGGTCTCGCTGGATGGCAGCACAGCCATCTGCTGTGTCAGCCACCCCTCCTAGTTTTGTGTCATCAGCAAACTTGTTGAGGGTACATTCCACCCCTTCGTCCACGTCATTGATTAATATATTGAAGAGGACTGGACCCAGTGCTGACCCCTGGGGAACATCACAATTCGGATTTCTCTTTTTGGACACAGACACATAAGAAAACACCCCCTGACCACTAATTCTGATAAAGAGTTGAGGCTTTCAATACCAAAAGATAGGCTCTTATCCTCACCGGATATATTTCAAGTACATAGTGGAGGTCAGGTGTAAAGCATATGCACTTATATGAATATATTCAAACTGAATTTAAATTCACTTTAGATATGTCCTTTGTTATCTCCCTGAAAACTTGTCTTCTTCAGGCAACAAATCAACATAAGAAACAACAAAAGATGCCTCAAAGGAACACCAAGCGTACTGACAATTTTACTAATTTATTTAAATGCATAGATGTTACAAAATAGATCAAAATGATGTACACTTCTCTATAGCCTCATAGCATTAGAAGTTGAAACAGGGATACAAATTTATGCCTCAGGTATAACATGTATATAGCATCATATGACAATATGAAAGAAATGTTATATTGATAAGTTCACTGCAAGACGTGTTACACAAGAAGCTTTCTTCTCCGAAAAACCAGGTACAACCCCGCCCACACAATTATCCAAAAAATCTAAACAAGAAATGATGAAAATACATAATGAGAGGTGTGAAAGGACATTTCACTGAATAAACACTGAATGAATGTTTTTTTGGCTCGGGTTCAGACAAAAAGCATAGAAATACCATAATTTTCTAATCCTCAAAACCTTCAGACCTCAGAAAACTGTTTCCTTATTGTATATGGAAAAAAGCAACTGTAGATGGTTTGCTTCTTAAGTGAACCCTGCCGTTAAGCACCGTTTCGATTATGTTAGAGCACCCTACATGTAACAAAGAGGTTTTAGCTCCTCAGAGTTATTAGATTCCAATATTACCATTCACACTTTATGTTTATTTACCTGAAATATTGCATCTAGGATAATTCTGGACTTACATGATGATCTATTGAAGCTGTAGCGAGTTTGCAGCACGATGAACAGCACAGTGATTTGAATAATGGTCGCTGTTGTGAACTAAACATATAACCTGAGGGATATCCCCTCTCTTCTGTTGGCCAAAAAGCCTCCTAGCATAATTTATATGGGTTGTCTGCATGGGGGATTCTTAAAGAGTTAACAACCTGTTCGCCAAATGGGGGCCAAAATCTTTTTCTGAGCTGAATTTTGTCTTTTGGCAGAAGACACGGAGATGAAATCATATTGCAACCATTTCAGTCTGGTTTTCTCACACTTCACACTCAGGGGAACTCAGCAGAGCAGGGACAACATTCAAAAGTTTATGTCTGTTCCACGGACTTGTGTGAATTTTAAAATGCATTGCCTTGCCACATGAGCAAAAAATTCTTCTCTAACAGAAAATAACTATATTCTGAGCGGAACTCAGTAAATGAAGCTTAAGCAGAAAGAAAGTCTTGAAATTATCAATAGAAATTTTTTTTTTTCTTTTCTTGAATTTATCAGTTGGGCTGTTGCCTGTCTTGAATTAACCAGATGGGCCATTGCTATGTTTTTCTTGATTTTTAATGTATTTTGTATTGACAGAAAGCAGTTTGAGAAAGCTGTGGTTATTTCAGATTACTGTTGACAGAAGTTTAATGTTCCTCCTATGAATCTAAACAGGAAGGTTTGTGCACTTTGACACCATCAGACCAATTATGATCTGACAACCAGAGCATATGATTTTTCTATTTCGCACAGTTTTAAAGAGCACCATAAACACACTGTGTGCTTGGATTCTGTGAGATCATTTCATTCTAGAAGAGGAACACAACAGTTTTGTCTTGAAAACTTAGCAATAATGGGCAAATTTCAATAGTACTTTGGACATTTAAATCTCTTATTTTATTAGGGTTCATTAGAATTTAGTATCTGAGTAATGAGGCTTCTCACTTGTGCTTTTTAAAGAAATATATCCGATTTAACACCTCTAAAAAATTCTCTGACATCTGAATATCTCTATTGTACTTCACACTCATAAAGCTTTTATGACAGGTAACCGACAGCCAATAGAACTGTGATTGTCCTGTACTTACAAATCAAGTAAAACTACGAATTCAAGGAGTTATGAAATGGACCTCATTTCTCAAGAAAGAAGACAGAAAATGAACTAAATTTGCATATGTTTGTTCTAAAAAAATCCTAAAACTTTTTGGATTCCTAAGAAACCAAACCAATACATTGGCATTCTCGACCACAAGAGGGCATCCACGCTTGCGACATGATCATTGAAAATCATATATAAACAGATATATCTATTTACCCATCTATCTATCTATCTATCCCTCTATCTATAGACATAGATAAGGATATCAATATGTTTCTTTCTGTTAGGTCCCATCTGTGGTACAGAACACGTTTGCTCTGGGAGGTTTCCTCTTTCAGAATCCCATGGTATTTCCCAGAGTTCGTAGGGGATAGCATATGAAGTTTAATTTTGCTGTCCTTAAAGCTCTCACAGAATCCCAACTTTCTCAGTCCTGCAAAAGTCATGTCAAACCTCCCATGGTTCTCACTGAGGCCTGACCGAACTCATCTCCAATTCAGAGGGGAACAAACTGATCTCAGAGAAGAGGAACATGCGGCTTCCCAAGCACAAGTGCTCGAGGTCAATCTTAGGTTTTCTGAATTTATTCCATTTATTACCCCAGAGAGAGAATTTGGGATCACTAAAACCTGCTCAGCATCAGTCTCCAGTCACAGCTGCCAGAGATCTTACTCTCCCCATAATTCGTTCCACTGTTGTGATGAGGGGAAGGTGCTGTTTGTTTTGGTTTTGAACAGGAATACATTTTCCTCTCTGAGGCACATAAAACTCTCATTAGAGCCTGAAACAACCATAAAATTAGAATTTTGGAAGCGAATCTGGCCTAGGTTGTATATGACATGCTTAGCTGAAAAAGATCTTACAAACACTGGAGTGTGTATGGTAATATTGGAAGTAACCCTCATCTCTTACAAAAAATAATGTATAACTTCAGCACCAGAAGATATAGGTTAGCACCAGAAGGTATCAATTGCTACCCATCATCTTGGATATTTAAATGAGGCAAAAAATCACAAGCAGATATTATAAACAGCGGCACTCTATAATTAATGATATCAATTACTTCATTTTTACTCCTATGCCTCCCACAGTATTTTGACTGAAAATATTTTTAGCCTTGTTTTAGCATGTGTATACTTTCATAATTTTATATTTAGACCAGAACAAAAGTCTGATCTAATTTCTCTGTCTTTAAAGGCACAACACTCTGCTTGGAAGAAGCAGAGCTTTACTGGCATTGCCATTGCCCAACCCAAGAGACAACAATTTGATAGGAATTGGGAAGATCCAAATAGGTAATAAATACAGAAAGGCCTTCAGCAAACTACTTATTTTAATAAGTAGTTTTATATTTTTAAAGCGGAAGGACAAATTCCATGTGGTAACCAAACATCCAATGAGCTGTAAACCTCTCTGGTCAATTAAAAATATTCAGCTAATGCTTGAGTGCTTGTGGCTGGTTTTATCAGGAGCTGCTTGTATGAAATAGCTTATACCCAGATCATTTTTTGCTGGTGTCAATTACAGTGTGATTAAAATAATTAATCCCTAGCACCATTATGGGATGTTGTGAAAAAACCTGCATACCTGTTTGTTAAGAGCAAAGTTTTCTATACCCACAGAAAACAAAATATTCCACAGAATCAAGGCATTTGTAGCAACTTAAAAAGTAACAGATACGATAACATATATACCCGTTATAATAAATTCAGCTGAATTACAGAATTATAAATTAATTTACAATGTCTACTCCTGTTTGGAAAGTGTAACATACAACATACTTGTTGCAAATTCCAAAGTGCATAGTCACTTATTGTCAGACCTACTGCTGTAGGCTTCATGGCTTAACCTGAACTTTTGCTTATGCTCTGCTTCCTATCTTGTATTTTTTTAAAATAATAATAATAATGAAAATGGTTAGATGCACTTTTTTAGGCTGTCTTTACCTCTAGAGAAGAAATCTTACACAGAACAAAGATTTATTTGCCCCACACATCTTCGTCAAGAACTGGGCTGGCTGAGGGCTAGTTGTCCCACCAGAAAACTGGTGGTATTGTCTCACAGAATTCTTTCAATGTGTAGATGGAAGACTCAAAAAGGTTGTGCTTCGCTCCCAAAACAGGACTGGATTTTACTTAGCCCAAGCGCTAGACTGATTGAGCACTGCCCAAGTCCCTTTGAACCCAGAGGGAAAACCATTTCCATGGTAACTGTTAGGATAAATGTTAGTAGAACATTACAAGTGTTGTTCTTTTAAAACATGGACACGTTTTAAGACTATGCACTTGTCTGGTTATTGTCCTCTCAGATACAGCAGTGTCACTAACCAGAAGTGTCAAAAAAGCCACAGACCAGTCACTGACATTCTCTGAGGGATGAAATTATGGGTAGATGGAGAGACACTGTTACGCTTCACAGGCTGTAGAGCTCATTCCCCCCACACAGCTGTCTTCCTAAGGAAAAGGAATAACTAACATGAAGAATTCAAACTCCCATCTTTTTTTCTGATATCACCAATAGGATACTTCATATTCCATTGACAGACTGTCTCCACCACCCTCAAATGGACTGAATGAGCAGTGACTGAAGGACACACACACACATAGCACTAGTGAAATTACCCTCTGCTGTTCTGCTTGCTCTGCTCAGTATCACTTTTCAAAGTTCATAAATTTCAGAGGTCTAAATGTGGCAGTACAAGCAGACTAAACACGTATATTTAAAGTGGAGTACATTCTGCCCTGTAAAACAAAGCCAAAACTCGAGGCTATTTCAATGACATCGTAGTTGTGGCAGATACTTGATTTCCTCCTTGTTTTGATCTGGTTTTTTTTCAAGAAAACTAACTGTATCACATCCTATCTTAAAGTGTAGATCCTTTTTATAAATGTTCTAGTAAGCACCCATAAGGCATTCAGGGTTTGGTGGGAAAGCTATGACTAAGTAGATTTGGGTTTTATCAATTCATACAGCTATTTTCAGGAATCTATTTGAAAGGACACTGACAACTGCTTTAGAAAATTCGAATCTTTGTTCACAAATCTGTGTGAAGTTTTAAGGTTGCCTGGTGCCTTTTATTTGGAAATCCTTTTAGCTACTTTTACGTCTGCTCTTTCCTCAAAAGTTTCACCTGGCTGAACTTCAGCCAGGGGGATAGCACCTATACTGGCAAACATATAGTGTAGAAGACAGTATGGATGTCATGTATTGACATAGGGTGCTTTGTAGCAATGTATTTCTTTACCTCCCTGTACAAGAATAAATATACTGCTGCAAAGCACCATCATACCGTTATGACCGTGTTCAGAAACATGGAAAAGTAGAGTTAGGTTGAGTTGTTACATCAGAATATTTGAAGTGATGTAGCTTCCTATCCAGTGAAGATTGCAGGCACATGAGTTCACAGCCACCGCGTCTTGGCCAGGGTGGTTCCTCGCTCTCTCCAATTTTCCTGTCTGCACACCGGCGTCATCGATGATAGCAGCAGCCGTGTGCTGGACGCTGGGAATGCCAGAAACCAATGGATGTTGTGCATGAGGTAGGTAAGATCCTGCAGTTTCTCTTGCACATACGTTTTCCTCTTCTGGGAGTCCCACTGAGGTTGCAGGTGAAAGCATGGGTGTCAACGGGAAGAACCACTGGGAGCGTGAGGACAATTTGTTGCTTTACACAGCACACTCCATTTTTAAAGCACAGTATTAAACAATGACCCTTCTCTTTCTGGAGCTATAATTTTTAAAAGGAAGCCATATTCTATGTTTTAACGTGCTTTTAACAGAACCTAATCTTCAGGAAGCTACACTTGCTAAGGTGAAAATTCATTTGTTCTCTGTTAATAAAATGTTAATCTAAAAGGGTTAATGTGAAATTTAAATTTTAAAGTGTTAAAACCAAATTATACTATACTTTGAAAGCTAATTATACAAAAGCATACAAAAAAGAAGACATCAGAGTATTATTACAATATCTCTCTATATATAATATGTGCAAACATCAATATACAAGCTTCTTGATACTCATCCTTTTTTAAAAAAAAAAAATAATGTAAACCTTAACTTATTTGAACCAGTATAAGTAGTTTGATGTTACTCCTGGGAAACAAAGATTGTCAGTACAAGAACCTCCATAGCTTGGAGGACAAGCAGAACATGGGACTCCTACTTTATATGGCGCTTCTCCAATCCAATTCCCCCTGGAAATATAAAAGGAAAAAGAATGCTTAGTAATTTCAGAGAGGAAGAAAAAAAGAAAATCATTAAATCATACTTGTTTTGAGTGATTAAAGTTAATGTCTTCAGGGATACCCTAGAGCTGTCCTGTTACTGAAAACATACATTGATCATAGACTCATAGAATCATCTAGGTTGGAAGGGACCTTTAAGATCATTGGGTCCAAACATTAACCTAACAGTACCAAAATATACTAAAAATATATATATTCCTGCAGGTTATCGACAAACATTGATCTACTGATTCCCAAAAGCCATCAGGAGAATAACCATGTCACCCCAGGCCCGTGGTCCCTTCCATATCCTTTAGTGTCTGTGGTGAAGTCTCAGTCCTCTTGCTTTTGCTAAAGACAAGTTGATTTTTGACTCTCCAAGCCTGGGACAGAGCATTTTTTCACTGGAGGGCTATTTTTATGAGAAATTAGGAATATAGGCATTGATGCAATGTGTTTCTTGAGCAATTTTTTTGGTTTTTTTTGTCTGGCCATTGTCTTAAAAACTTGAATTTGGAAGGTGGAAAAATGAATTGAGCGAAATCTTATCCTCAGGTTGCACTGCCCTGGGTCCGCATTGTGAAGCTCTGAGGATGAATTTGTGGGAAGATGTAAATTATTCACACCAGTAATAAACTAAAAAGAACTATATTTAGCCATTTGCAGGGGTCTCATAGGTGTTAATGGGAGGAGAAAGAAGGCTCCCATCTGGTGAATGGAGCTGCATAACAGAGCTCAGGGGAAAGGGCTACAGGGCTGGATAGTGATCATGTGAAAAGAGGTAACTCTGAAAGATCTGGAAACATCTGAAAAATGCATCCAGACTTTTAGGTGCTTATATAAACCCCAGGCTTTTAGAGATTCATGTAGCACTTCTGATGTAGGCAGAAAGAAAGTTAAAATTAGATTTTTTATTTAAATGTTATGTCTCACTGAGCAGAGAACTTTCCTCCAGTTTGCATGTGACGTGGTATAGCAGTGAGTAATGCAAGTATTTATGAAAAATTTTCTCATCCCCCACCTCCCAGCCAATAAAATTGGATCAAAAAGCCCTGGTCTGGGCTGTGCCTTGGAAGAAAGTAGGAATCTCTCAAATAATTTGCTCATTCCTACTTCTCTTCCAAATGGGTACAGCAGACTGAGTGCTCAGGAAATATATTTAGTTTGATAACAGATATGGAAATCCAGAAAGAGTTTGCTGAAAGCTGATTTCTGCTTTATTTGCTATGCAATGCATGGCTGATTTGTGGGAGTCTGTCAGATAACCAGGTACAGGGTCTTTGTAAACTTTTTAATTATCCTCCTTAATTTTTTTTTTTTTTTTTTTCATTATTTCAGAAACATAGACATTTTTGACATTACAGCATGGCATCAGTGAAAATTACTGAGTTCTAAATCCTAAATCTTTCCCAAATTCCAATATTAATAACTGAAATTGGGGCTGTTATATTCAACCCCTTCTTCTTCAGAGGAGTTTCTGATGTGCTGGTTGCTCAGAAGGACACGGCTTTTATCAACTGGCAAAGAGATTACTGCATGCGTGCCAAAGCCCAACGTCCTTAACTCAACTTAATTAATTCTTAGGAAAAACAAACTTAAGCCAGACAAGACCACTCAATATGTTTTTTGTGACTTTGCAAGAAGTAGATGTGAAAATTCCAGTTCCACTACCTATGAATCAAAGGTCTACTCAAAATCTCATCCGAAGCAGCTTGTAACTCCGGGATTTGGTTTGCTTTTTGAGAAACAGTGGGATTTTTTGACTGAGAAAATATAAAATGCATATATAAACAAAGCATCGGTTTTCAATAATGCCTAATGCATACAACCATTCTTTTCCTGTATATAAACATGAGAGATATATGCTAGGAAGGCTGTAAATTTTAATTTATTTTTTTTTCCAAATGGAGATATATAAAAAAAAACTTGATTTCACCTAATCTGTGTTGTGGAGCTAAAAGTCCGGTAAAGATTTTGCTGCCTGATACCCCTCAAATTCATTTCTTACCACCGTTTTCTAGTAGGTATTACAGACAAAAGGCATAAGATTTCCAAAGGTTTTTTTTTTCCAAGTTTTCTTACTAAATCCTATCTTTTTTTTAAGTTGTAAAATCTTTAAAAATTCTTCTACTCATGTAACAGCTAGAATAATGACATATTCTTGCATATTCTTTACCACAAATGGACCCGTGCCACTGAGAGTTTATGGAAAACATGCTCAATTAATTATATGTACATTCCTGTACAGATCTATGGCTTTTGCCTAATATTATACAGTCAGAGAAACCAGCCATTTACACTGTCCATGCTGCTTTTGAAGCACTCGTCCAAACCAGACCTCAAATCAAAGCTCTCCCTGAGCCACACTTTATTGGTTCGCTCTGCACCCAGATGTAAGCTTGGAATGATATCTAGGAAATACTGGGAGAAAATTAATTTCTTCATTTCAACCTAACACAGATCTCTGCACGGCGCCCAGACTTTGGGGCCCCCTGTGAGTGTCTACGGCCTATACTTTGGAGGACCTTAATACGGAGGCAAGAGGAGATTTGTAGACACTGAGTAGATGGATTTTGCAGGAAACCTATGCTATGGATGCTGTTATGCAGCAAGGTTATGAGCAAAGGTATCTCCTGGGCAAAAATGTGTGCTCACAGAAAATCAAGGGCCTGAGCTACAGTGGAACTGCTTACCTAGAATCATAGAATGGTTAGAGTTGGAAGGCACCTTAAGGGTCACCAAGTTCCAACGCCCCTGCCATGGGCAGGGACACCTCCTGCTAGATCAGGTTGCTCAAAGGAACCTGGAACCTACCCGAAGAAGTCTAGCTCACCATAGCTATATATAACAGAGTGAAGAAATAAAGAATTGAAAGTAAAGTGCAGACTGCACAAAGGAAGAAGATAAGAAGAATTTTAATAATAATAACAACAACAACAGAAAACAGGCATTTGGTTTTGTTCTGTACACATGAAGTTATTTCCTTTTCTTCCTTGTAGACCAACGTCATGCATTTGCTGTGTGTTCAGATGTAAAGTTAGAATGAAGGAGCAGCCCACAGAAAAAAGCACAAATAGAAGTCAAGCTGCAGAAAAAAGCAGTAAGCAGTCCTACGAGAGGAGCAAAACATGCATGAAGAATAAAAATAAACAATATTAAAAAAAAAAAGCAACTCACTTTGGGGCATAGTTGCATACCAAGTAAACAGCTCGTCGCCAAACAGATCCCCAGACGTTCATATTGTGGCATGTGTGGATGGCGCAGCCTATACGATTGGAAGTGGCCCAAACCATCTGAATAAATATTTATTATTGGTGAAGTCCAAATTGAAAAGAAATATATATATATATATATATACACACACACACATTTATTTGAGAGAGAGCTATAAATACATCACAGAAAAGTCCAGCTTTGGACGGTAGGTATGGAATAGAAGAATGTAATTTATATAACCTGTGTGTAATGGGTGCACATGGGTCCATAACATCGCATGGGGCACCTGGGGTTGCAGTCCTGAGGATAAGGGAAAGCATAATCCTTCACCTCATCGTACCACGGCTTTACCAGCTGGAGAATAGATCGATACCTGGGTTGGTTTATAAGACAGAAAGAAATACATGTCATTTTAGATATACGTATTTTGGAACTTCCTGCTGTTAATCCCTCTGATGCAAGTCACTTAAATGCACATTTCTCCATGCATCACTAGGGGCACAGTATTAAGGAATAATGCTCTTAAGCCAAATGAACATAGATGGATATCAATTATTGCTAGAATACTGGATGACACTTGCATCAATCTAAGATCTAGATCTCAAAAGCTGTTTGAATGCTGACAAAATAACTGTTTTATAGGGTGTGTGCCTACCTCCCAGTTCTCACAGACAGGTTCTGGCCCAAGAATCTCAGTAAGTATGAAGGTCCGTGGTCCCAAATGCATGTTGCAGCCCAAGCCTCTGCAGATTTGGCAAGAGTTTCATCCCAAACCTGACAAAATAAAATATCCTTAGCAGTAGAAACAGAAAAAACAAATAGTGATCACAATGCAAGAACACAAGAATCAAGTATCTTGAGTCACAAATAAGTTATCATAACACATCACATCTGTAAACTAGGTAGAGAGCTCTTCAATTCAGAAAACTGTGGGGCAGCATGTACAGGATCTAGCAGGATTTGTCCTAACACTGGACAGAAATCCCATCCACATCATCAGAGGAAGCCAAGTATTCAGATCTCTCCCTTTTTTTTCTGGAAAAGCCCTTCCCTGAACAGGCATTCTCCTGCCATTTTCCCTTCTGTGTTGATGAGATCCATGTGTGGAGAGGAGTGAAACGTTGGATGGGACTCAGATGGAAGTTAGAGAGAAGGAGAGGCAGACAGGGAAGAACAATCCAGTGCAGATATTACATACTCCACAAAACCCCAACACATTTGAAATAAGATCTTAGGAGTATCTATAGCCAGCGAGAGCGTGTGTGGCAGCTTTTCACATCTGAGGCCACAAGGTCAAGAAAAGGGATTCCACAAAGACTAAGCCTATGCATAGTTTCCAGGTGTGGATCATTTTATCCTGCATGGGAGCTGAGGGACTAAGCCTATGCATAGTTTCCAGGTGTGGTGTGAGTTCCATCATTTTATCCTGCATGGGAGCTGACATTGCTCCCTGCCTGGAATAAAAAAGATAACAGCTCTGTAAGAGACAATTTGACTTCTTAAGTTCTCTCCCAATGGTAGGAACATGACGAGTGAACTTAAACACTGTCTCCTTTATATGCTTTTCCTTCTCACATGCTTGATTTTTAACTCCACTGTTTTCTCCACAGCAAATATTGTTTCAGCAATAGCAGTGATAACAGCAATAGAACCTATTGTACTGCTGGAGACAAAAAATATCTCACTGTTATAAGTACATATGAATCCCAGTATATCTTCATGTTTGAGTGATACCCAAATAGGCTCTAGATTCTAGATTTAGAAGTGCATTTTGAATATCCCAAGTGGAGTGCTTTGGTGCAGTTTTAGTGAACTGCAAGTAGAAAGGCAGGAACACCATGTGGTAAAATTGCCTACCCAGCCCTTCACAGCTTTTTAAACACAAACCCAAACTCATAAACCTTGAGTGGCTGTGAAACAGAGTATGCTCTCTGAGCATGGTATGAAATAACAGGCAAAGTCAGAAATAAACTTGTCAAAGCATAAGGTGGCCCACATCACAAATATTTTCTGTTTTATGAGCTAATAATGATTTCTAACACTGAATTCATAGTTTCAATTTCTCAAACCTGCAGAGTGAACAGACAGACCAAAGATCATGGACTAGGACAGTAATTCATGCCCTGACCCTCTCTGGTAGTTTGTGAAATTTCTCCAAGTGAAAAGGACAAAATTCAGTAAATTCTATGAAATTGCTATATTAATGAACCAAGCTTTTGCTACTATGGAGTGAGTGAGGTACCTCTGGATTAAAGCTGAAGAAGTGCAACAGAAATCAGTATGAACCATTAATGCAAATGATCTTCCATTCAAGTGGGAGCACCTTATAGAAAGTAAGATGGATGGTGCTTAAAGTGGAGCAGATTTACTTTACACCTCTTTGTAAAAGGCCCCAGAACCAAGTCAAAACAAATTGCCACTGAAAGGACAAAACAGAGAAGTGTTAGGAAGAACATGCTAAGAAGGAATGGTCTTCAAGCCAGGAAATACTTTGACTTCAGCTCTGAAAAATGAAGGGAGTTTCTAGGAGGAGTTATAGATAAAACTATAACTCAGGAAGAGAAGGCTAAACTGGAGCACTAAGAAACTAGCAGATAGGGGATGGGGGGCTGCTATGGCACCAGCTTAAACCCAGAAAACACTCTAAGGCCCAAGAGGAAGAAAATTGTGTTCGGCCAGATTTGTTCTGCTTTCTGTCTCTGAAGTTAAGTCATTGAACTGCTTGTGGCCAGCATATAAATAACTCTTTATAGAATCATAGAGTCATGGAATCATGGAAGGGTTTGGGTTGGAAGGGTCCTTAAGGATCAAGAAGTTCCACGCCCCTGTCCCTCCCACCAGACCAGGTTGCTCCAAGCCTTGAACCCCTCCAGGGATGGGGCAGCCACAGCTTCAATGGGCAACCGGGGCCCGGGTCTCACCACCCTCACGGAAAAGAATTTTTTCCTGAGATCTCATCTCAATCTCCCCTCTTTCAGTTTAGAACCATTGCCCCTCGTCCTATGGCTCCCCTCCCTGATCCAGAGTCCCTCCCCATCTTTCCTTTATAATCCCTGTGGTATACAAATGGTCCCCAAAAAGAGGACTTAAAGGTGGGACAACAGCCAGCACAATTATAAAAGTACCTACTGTTAAATAGGTAGGTAATAAATAGATAGGATAAACAGGTGGGCCTGATATCTTTATGCCCAGGAAGTGTGCCTGAGCGTGGGGCTGCAGCCGGCCTTTGGAGCCTGCCCAAGCCCGGGGGAATGGAGGAGCTGAGGGATCCAGCACCAGGGTCCAAACACAGCTGCCTGGTGTGGAGCCACGAGGGACAGCTCTGCCAGGACCGTGACACCCCATAAACACCCTCCTTCACTGGGATTAATCATGTTTCTGGCACAAGCCCTCCCTGCCAAGGAGGCCGAGCATGAGGCTTTGCGTGCTTGCTCCCAAGTGACCTGGCTGCAGGCCCACAATAATCTAAACGTACACTGTATTTGCACAAATAGCACTGAGGTCCTGACTTCCACCCAGCATATTTTCACGTACTAAATTGCCTGCAAAATAGCATGTTAGGTGTTTGAAAGAAATGTGAAGACTGGATTAGGTTTTCTCTATTAATGCCCTCTCTCAATGTCCTTGCCTTGGACAGTGAGAAAGTTGCTAGTCCACTTTCATTGCTCCGCAGCTTCATTTTCTAGTCCTCAGGAATCATCTGCATGATTCAATTGGTAAAGTTTTAGGGGGTCGTTTCAAACTCAGTTAAAAAGTTGTGGATTTGGCAAGAAAGCATTACTGTGATATAGCAGAGTACTCTGCTTTCCTTTGCCTACTCACTCTTGATGAATGTCTGGACATAGGAAATTTTTGGCAAACATAAAAAAAGAGAGAGGAAGGAAGGAAGGAAGGAAGGAAGGAAGGAAGGAAGGAAGGAAGGAAGGAAGGAAGGAAAGAAACCACTGAATAAGAAATAAGGGCAGGAAGGAAGGAAGGAAGGAAGGAAGGAAGGAAGGAGGAAAGAAAGAGGAAAGAAAGAAGGAGAGAAGGAAAGAAGGAAAGAAAGAAAGAGAAAGAAAGAGAAAGAGAAGGAAAGAAAGACAGAAAGAAAGAAAGAAGCCACTGAATAAGAAATAAAGGCGGGGAGGAAATGCAGCATCTTTATATTTCCTTCATTAGCAGGCTGGTGAAAAGCTCTTATAGAGTCCCCTCCTGCTATTTAAACCATTTGTATTTCATGGAAGAAGATGAAGTGCTTCACCTTCTTTATTTTATTTTTATTTCCTAGAAGAAAAGGTAGTCTCAGACCCTCTGGGACTAGCCCTAGATCATCTCCCCAAGAAAAGGCAAATGATTAATATAGGTTGAAGCACAAAAAGTATTATCTCATAATGACCTAAAATCTAAACTGTAAGAGACTGTACCGTTAGTTCATACCTTTCAAAAGAAGCCTGATCCTGAGTCCACACTTGGACTATTTTTTATCCCAGTTTAGTCTCATGTTTTGGGCATGTAAGCGAACAGAGGAAAGACATTTAGATTTTTGAACCCATGAGGCTTCACTGTTGTACATAGACAAGTAGCATATAAAGAAATAGAAAAAAAAAATGTCCTAAAAAGGGAAAATAAAGTAAGTTGAAAGTCAAAGAGGCATTTTCTGTGTAAGTAGAAATTAAAAAGGTCAAGGTAATTAGCACAGAGTTTAAAAAACCCCTGAAATAAATAGACAAGTAGCATATAAAGAAATAGAAAAAGAATGTCCTAAAAAGGGAAACTAAAATAAGTTGAAAGTCAAAGAGGCATTTTCTGTGTAAGTAGAAATTAAAAAGGTCAAGGTAATTAGCACAGAGTTTAAAAAACCCCTGAAATAAATGAAATTATTAACTCTGAAATGATGGCCAGTCCAGTATTTCTATTAAATTTTAGAGAAAGCTGCCTGACATGAACACAGAATTGCAAAAGGGAAAATGGAGAAAGATTTGCGTATTCGGTGGGTCTAGATCTGAGGAGGTGACTCATCTTCAGATGCTAATTGTGCAAACTCCCAGTGCCAAACTATGCTCATTCTCTCCCTGGGGATAGCAAATCTTCACTTGCTAGCTCGTTAGCTGCTGAGGAAGCAGACACTTTCCTTCCAACCAGGATAAAGATGCCCCCCCCGCCCCCAACCCAGCTCTCTAGATCACTGATTTGGTCCAGCATGGAAACCCTCCCCACTCCTCAACTGGGTCTAACAGCTGCGATGGAGTTAAAGCATCTCACCGCACTTCCACTGGCAACTTGAAGTGAACATCATTTGGCAAATTTATTTTTCTTTCCTCAGCCAAAGATTATTTTCCTAGAAAGCCATCTGACTGTGCTTTCTGCCCTGCTCCCTGCAAAACTGCACTTCAAAACTACATTTCACTTGAAAATTGTCAAGCGGACTGGAGAGAGGGAACGGGGTAGTGCTTCTACGTGGGGAGTTTCAACACCAGAGACCACTTTATGAGGTTTTCTGAGGCAGCTCTGGGTGTTCTCTGCACTCACAGCACGTGCTGCTTGAGAGTTAGGACTAAAATCTTAACATTAATGAAGTCAGCAGGAATTTTGCCAGTGAGGCCATCCACCCAAGATCAGGGTTTTTTGTTTGTTTCACTCTGTAAACAAATAGTAAAATTAATTCTTTTATTCCCATAATGTATAACATGTAACGGAGTGTAAAACAAAATCTCTCTAATGTTGAATTAAATTTCTTGAAGCCCCAAAAGCCTTTTAATGTTGTGGGTCACCTTCTATAGCTGTTTCTATAA